CACGAGCGACTCGGTGACAGCGAATCATTCGGCGATAGAGTCAGCGCAAACTAATCACCCGACGGTCGTGCACCTGCGTTTGGTGTCGCGGCTGTGGAGTTACCGAGGCACATGGCTTCCCCACACGAATGACATGCGCTTCAGCCGGCGCGACGGCCGTAACGTCGCGCGTCCGAGTGTCAGATATCTGCTCGGCTCAAGGCTCCTGTGCAGTTCCCTCTCATACAACAAACTCTAAATCTTTTCTTCGGGCCATCTACAATCAGGATGCCTTTCAACACGGAGCTGACGAGGGCGCTCGGCATTAGAGGTAACTTCACCAGCACAGCAAACGATACGGTAGCTGACAGATGTAGTGCCCGTCGTTCAAGGTGGTATGCAATGGGTCGGATACGCCGAACTCGCTTCCGCTGTTAGCAACGCAGGAGGTCTGGGAATAGTATGTCGGGCGCCCATCACGCATCAAACATATTCTCACGATGGCATAGTTGACCGCCCTTACCCAACCCACCCCCGAAGACCTTCGCAAAGAAATTCGCCGATGCCGAACGATGACCAACAAGCCTTTCGGCGTCAACCTGACGCTCCTCCCCGCCATGGTCCCCCCGGACTATGCCGCATACGCCCGCGTCATCATCGAGGAGAAAGTCAACATTGTCGAGACAGCGGGAAACAGCCCAGGGCCGGTGATTAAGCAGCTGAAGGAGGTTGGCACCATCATCCTGCACAAGTGCACTACTATCAGGCACGCACAGTCTGCGGTGAAGCTTGGCGTTGACTTCCTGTCCATTGATGGCTTCGAGTGCGCCGGACACGTTGGCGAGACGGACATTACCAACTTCATTCTGCTCAGCAGAGCTAGGCAATCATTAGGTGGTGTGCCTTTTATCGCCTCTGGAGGTTTCGCCGACGGCCAAGGTCTGGCCGCTGCGCTTTCTCTCGGAGCCTGTGGTATCAACATGGGAACGCGCTTCATGTGCACCATCGAAGCGCCCATCCACCACAACATCAAGCAAGCCATTGTCGACGCGCAAGAGACAGACACCGCACTCGTGCTCCGCCGATGGAAGAACACATCGCGACTCTTCGCCAACAAGGTTGCGCTGCAGGCTGTTGAGGTCGAGAAGACAAGCCCAACTGGCAAGTTCGAGGAAGTCGCTGAGTTCGTCAGCGGAAAGCGAGGTCGGCAAGTCTTCTTGAACGGAGACCCAGACTTCGGTGTAAGTTTACATGTCCCTTTTCGAGTGCGGTTGACTGACAAACCTAGGTATGGACTGCTGGCCAAGTAATTGGCCTCATCCACGACATCCCCACCAATCAAGAGCTCCTTGACCGCATCGAGCGCGAAGCCGTCGAGACCATGAAGCAGTCGCAATCGCTGTTCGTCGAGGAGGGCGAGAAGCCTGTCGCTGACGGCGCGTCCATAAACAAGAAGTCGAATAACCCTCAGGCTGAGGTCTGGGGTATTGGCAAGAGCAAGCTATAGATATGGATAATTCGTGTAGCATTACTCGGTTGGCACAGGGAGCGTTCTGCATGGAATAGCATTTTGATACCATGAGATCTGTTCAATTGATTGTGAGATCGTGAAGAAATGGGAACGCTTCTCAATCGAGAGGGTTGCTTCGTCAAAGGCATAAGCAAACGCGCATCTCTCGCGTTCAAGCGGACGACCACTTCGCCACTGCAGATACCCACGTCTCCATCTTGAGTCACTATGACGTCGAACCTGCACCATCGACTCCAGCTTACGCCATCCTACAAAACTACTTCACGGCCGTGTGTCAAAGCATTGATCAGAGACAGATTGCTCACCACACGAAAAGCTAAATAACGATACCTCTCACACTTAGTTCCACCGAAGCATACACGCCATGTCTTCCCTGACAGGCCAAAAATCTTCAAACACCCAACCCAAGAACCCCGTCAACCCCGGCGAAGACACAGCCGGCACATTCAAGGGCGACCCGAGCGTTCCATTCAAGACCGGCCAGTCGACTGACCCTGTTGGTTTGAGCGCGTCCGTGGACAAGGTAAGCTCCTCGCCTGACATACCACCTGATACCTACCATGCATCATAATAGAAAGGTTGTATCACCCAGGAAGATACTTACAGTTATAGGCTGCACCCAGCCAACAAAACGCCTCAGACACTTCGGAGCAGCGCCGCGGAGAAGATATAACACAAAACACCAAGCAAGAGTACGAGGGAAGTAGCAGTGTCGGTACCAAAACCGGAAGCGAGAGTTTGATCGACAGTGTAGAGAGGAGCATGCATGAGGGTGGTGAGTCGGATCGGAGTGGAGTGGATATTGGACAAATTACTGGCGGACGATAGTTTGAAGAACTTGGTGGTATAGTAACAGCGTCACAAGTCGCTTAGATGAAATCATAATTTAACATTACGATCTTAGCGTTTCATGTGACTGTGTTGGAAATCACCTTCTATGCCCTCTACCTCAAGATGGAGGTATACCTTGCGAGCCCACATTAGCCTCAAAGATAGGCCTGAAGAGACTACATCTGTAATCAAGATCAGACTGCGGTAGCACAGTAACACCACCCCCCCTCACACCTCCAACATCGCCGAGAACACCTAAGTCCCAATCTCCTTCTACGACGGTGGCATTCTGATCCTGATACACTCCACCTGCCACAAAGTCATAGGCACCAACCAAGACATTACCCTCAGCACCCGTGCCAACGGCGTTCCATCCAGGTCCAGCATACGGGTTCTTCGCGAACTTGGCCCATGTACTTTGCATAAACTGTGCCAAGGCGTACTCTTGCGTCGTCGTATTAGCCAGCGGGTATGTGCGGAACACGAGAGGGATTTCAGAAGCGTGATATGCACCGAGCTGGGGATAGGCTTGTGTATTGGCGAAAGAAGCGTTGAAGTAGTAGCGCCAGGTTGGTATACCGATGGATGCTGTTGCATTGGCCCACAGTGCTTGTGGACACTGAAACGTGATCTCAGTGACAATCTGTGAGATGACGTCGTAGTCGTTGGTCAGACCGTTGTTACCGATGGGGTATGCAGCTTCGATTGCGGGAATGAGTGCTGGTGCGGCTCCAAAGGTCGCCTGCAGGTAGGCAGTAACGTTTGTTTGGCCGACTGAGAAGACGCGGCCTTCTTGGGAGTTTGTACCTCCTAGTACTGGTATATGCGCGATATCGCCGCTTAGGCGTTGTGCCGCTGGGTTCGATACCAATGTGGCGTTATCAGCAACTGGATTGAATACGAGCGAGTTTTGGTTGATGATGGTCTGCACAGTCGTTGCGTTCGCTGCTCTTACACATGTCAAGTTGCTCTCATGTGTCCCCGGGCACCCGAGGGTCGCTGTGAGGTTGTTCCAAGCGGGTATGCTTGATGTTGCAGGAGCTGCGCGATAGCTGTACTGTCCACTTTGTAGGATGGCGGCCCGAAATGGTGGTGAACTGTCCTTGGGGAAGCTGGTCAAGAGCGCATCGATAGAGAAAGCACCCGCGCTCTCACCGAAGATGGTGACTTTGGATGCATCGCCGCCGAAGGCGTGGATGTTGTGCTGTACCCACTCGAGGGCAAAACGTTGGTCAAGGAAGCCGAGATTGCGTTCTGCTAAAGGCAGCTCTGGTGAAGCAGGGAAGCCAAATACTGCGAGCTGTTAGGTGTGAAACATGTGATTTGGAGTGTCGATAGTCACCTACCGTTCGTTCTGTAGTTCGTCGTTACAACGACAACATCTTCGTATGCTGCAAAACTGCTCCCGTCATATTGCTCTTGACCAGCGTTACCGAACTGCAGTGAGCCGCCATAGATCCAGAACATCACAGCCCTGCCATTGCCGCCTGCGGGAGTCGATGGTGCATAGACATTGAGGTATAAGCAATCCTCCGACTCTTCAGGTGGTGGGTTATTGAAAACAGCCTGCGTGAACTGTGAACTTGACAACGGGTCTACTCCAATCAGCATATATCAAATAGCTTGCATGGGTTTGCGTACATCGAAATTGCTGGATACATGCTGGTTTGAACTCGGTGGCATTGACTGGCCCTTGGAAAGGATTTGCAGCTCGCGGGGGAGAGAATCTCTCGGGTGGTGATGCAAAGGGCACACCTAGAAACTGATGCACTGGTCCAAGTGCATGGGGAAGTGAGGTAGACTTTCCAACTATGACACCCGCGTCAATAGTTGCGGTTGGTACATCGTGTCCGGACGCATAGTCTGCCCAGGTTGTCGTCGCGCCGCTGGTTAAGAACAGGAGACCAACGGAGCCCAATGTAGAAGATAAGAACATGTCGGCGGCACTGTGGTTTTACTACCCGTGCACTGTCATCAAGCAGTATCTTGATCTCTTTATATAAGCCTTGTCTTTTCATTGACGCGAAACCGAGGTCAACACTTTCGTCGCAAGCCACCTCCAGCTTGGCGTGCATCGCGCTGTAAGGTTTCCATCCAAACAAAATCACTTCTTAGTGCGCGAAGCCGAGGCTTAGGAGCCGTCTCCGCAACTAAAAAGCATAAGAGCGTCATGGCCATCCCGTGTATGCGGTTGCTATTGAGTAAACAGTGCAGCTCGCGCTAATGACGCGTAAAGTTCGCTTGTTGTCGTTCGACAACCGCATATGGCGAGCTGCTGGGGAAGGGCAGAAGATCAAAATTTGATTTCAGTAGACAAGATCACACAAAGAAGCAAACGATGAGAGAAAGGAGACGCGAAGATCGTGATGAAGATGCGGGACGCGCAGGTCATTGCGGGGTGCGCCTCGCTTCCGGTCACCCCCGGCTCCCAGTCCCAGCCACCAAGCCTCGCGACTGCCTGCCCATTCATCATCGCTACCGGGAACGCCAATTGTTCATTCATACTAGGCCTCTACGCTGACAACGATCTCAATCGCCACCAGGAACTGCTCAGTTTTGATCCAATTCAGCAAGATTGTCATTACTACGAACTACCGCCGCTAAACGCCTGCGCCTACCCAAAATATCGTCCGCCGCGCTCTTTGCTCGACATCGTTCCTCACAACTTCTCGATAGGTTTCTTACTCGCACTGGCGTCACGAAGGTAGAAAAGCAAGTTGAGGGCTCTGTCGCCCTCTGGCGGCTCGTCGCTGTAGAATATCCTTATCCCAGCAATTACCTTACGGCCAAGTTGGTCTCGATGCTGCGCAAGTAACCAAGCTACACCTGAACCATGTGCTGTGCCCAGCAGAGCGATGGCATGGTCGCTGTTCATGTCTAGGTATAGTCCCGACCGCGTATAAGCCTGTGACTGGCGAGGTGGTGCGTCGAGGATACTATTAATGACGGCCAAAGTATCTTCATTCGAGATGTTTTCTCTCATGATGAAGTTGAGATCGTGTACTTCTTTTTTCTGGGTGTGAACAGAATGAGCCCATTGGTGGAAGGCTATATCGGACCAGTGCTTCAACGAGGGTAACAGAGCGGTCGACAGCGATTTCAACGCCTCGGCCTTGTATGTCGGGCTGTAGCTGTAGTTCACCACGAGAATTCCAGCTTCAACGTTGATATCGGACATGAATCTCACTTCGCTTACGCTTGCAAGTGTTTCGCCAGTGATAACGTCTTTCGTGTAATCGTCTGTAACATTGATGAAGTGAGAGTTAGAAACTTGAATACCGAGACTGTCCAACTTTTTTGACAGGCCAGACACAGATCGAGGCCTTTTTGTTCTCTTGTATCCCATTGCTCCTACTTCCTCGGGCGTGAAGGTTGGGCTTTGCGTGGCAGCAGATCCGCCATGCATCATTTTGAGTATCTTCTTGCCTTTCTCCATGGCAGTCTTGTAGTCCAGATTACTGATATATGAGTTTGTCATCGTGGGCATGGCTTAGTGTGAGATGTTATTGGGAAAGAGAGGAAGCGAGTGTTCTTCATATATGAGGCTGGTGAAACAATGTCTTCTACCTTCCACGAATCTCCAGTGGATCAAGCACGGGCTAGTTTCATGAGTGTTCTACTGTCTGCCATCTCATTGTCCGCGTGGCCTGACATATTGCTAGAGCAACGCTCATTCTGCCCTCATAGCGACTTCCCTCAATCACCTTTCTCGCTGCCTGGCTTCGGAGCAACCACGTCGCGAAGGTGGAACACCAAGCTTGGAACAATCGTCTTGCTTTTATGCCAGATCTCGCGACAATCCACCGTTACCTTGTGAACTGTCTTATGCCTCAACTGCTTTTTATGCTGTATGAGCAACCAAGCGACTCCGGCTCCATTCGGTGTCCCCAGAAAAGCGGATACCTGATCCCGGTCCTCAACGTCGAATGAGTATGAGCCTGAAGCATTGGGATGGGCTTGTTGTTTGATATGCTGGATGACTGCTTTTGTCCTTTCGTTTGTGATGCTCATCCGCATCACATAACGTAGGTCGGATGAGTCCGTGTTACGGCAGGCCCATTGCAGGTATGCGACATCTGACCAGTACTTCAGGCCAGGGACGTCATCGCCAACGTTATTTTTTTCCATAGACTTGCGGCCGGCTTGTTTTAGTAGAGCATTCTCGGCATCCGCTTTCGCTTTTCTCCAATCATGCACAGGACTGTACGTGTTCATAGCTGCAATCATACCACCGGAAGTGTTGATGACTGAGTCGAAGCGTATCTGCATCTCAAGTCCTTCTTGTAGCGATTCTTCTATTGGTGCAACGCCGTGGTGTTCATGTGAAACAGGGATATTGCTTGAAGTGTTGATTCCAAGGTCCTCCAACAGTCGCGCCAGAATTTTGGAATCGTCCCCGGAGGACCGCTCAACCCAATTGTTCTCCAAGAGATCTTCGTATTTGAGGTGTTCGCTTTCAGTTGGCGTATCTGTGTTTTTGAGTAAATTACCGAGCTCACCAAGGCTAGCTTCCAGCATCTGAAACAGCAATAGACCTTTCTTGTAAGCCGCCTCATAATGCGTTGCCGGGCTGACTGAGGTTGTCATCGGAGAGGATGCTAGTTATTAAAGTGTCACAGGCGGGTCGCGGTAGTACTAAGTATGTTGCTATCCAGATGCATTTATGAATTCCTTGAGTGTGAGACGTTGAGCGTCACGCGCATCGTCAACAAACGGTATGACGCGAAGCAGCTGACATGTAGCCTAAACTGTTCCACCCTTTGTCTAATTCGCTCAATGTAAAGTGAATGCAGATACAATCTTCTCACCTGACCCCCACTCTACACAATCCAAAACAGCAAAGTCGGCCATCTAAACAAATCATCCTTCTTCGCCGCATGAAACAAAGTCACCTTCTCGATATTCTTCTCTCCAAACGCCTTCTTATGTTGAATAAGCATCCAAGCGACACCGCAACCATTGGGCGTTCCTAAAATTGCCTTCCCTTCTTCAGAGTCCATCCCAAACGTGATACCAGGCCACATCTCATAGGTGAACGTAGCATGCTTGCTAATAATCTTATTGAGAACCAGTGAAGTCGCGGCGTTCTGAATCTGAACGCGGAAGACGTAGTTGAGCGGAATCGGCCGTATAGGTGGTTCGGGGAAAGACGAAAGGTATTGTAGAAACGCTACGTCTGACCAGTGTCGCAGTGACGGTAGTTCTATAGCTTCTTCTTCCCATTCGTCATCGAACTTCGCTGCATGAGCGGGACTAAGATTACTGTCTGCGATCAAGACACCAGAGTGTGGGTTGCTGACTTGAGAAAAGTAGCCATGTGTTGTCTGATTGCTTGTTAGAACGTGCTTACTTCAAAGCTACCGCGAAACGTACTGTATCGTCTTCTGTCGCTTCTGCTCCGTCGCGGTCATGTACATGGTGTGTTCTGTTGTTCTCTCCGCCATCATACACCATTTTGTCGCTGACGCCCAGATCGCAGAGCGCGTCGGCAATACAGTTGATTTCAAAGAATTTGTCTTGAGGCTTTAGAAGATGGCCATGTTGGGCTAGTTCTTGTACCTCCTCATATGCGCTTTGAACTTGTGTCTTATCCTTCGCGGCCAGGATCTGGAGCAGCCTAGTACCCTTCACGACGGCGGCCTCGTAGTCTTGATCTATCGTCAATTTTGTCATGGTAGGGACCTATTCGTGGATGAAGGAAGGGAATGTTCCAAGAGAAAGGTGAGAGAAGAGAACAGGGTTATGGAATCACTCCCGCATTTGGGAGTGGAATAACAGTGTTTGCTCGACCGAGCTTTACTTCACTCACTGTGTCACACGAACGCAGATCATTCGCTACTCCACAGCTCCTGACCGCACTGTTAACTTGTTGCGCGTACCTACAGTATGCCTCCGTCCCATGTCTGGCTATCCCGTGTCACTTGTCCTCACCCGCTTTACCCTGCTCGCCATCTTCCTTCGCACCTTTCACACCGTCAGGCCCAGCACTCCATCCGAGCATAAAACAAGGACACGGAAGACTAACCAAACATACTGCCCCCACCGCCACCCATCCTCCCTCCCCTCTGCGCCTCCCTAACCAACCACTCCCTCAGAAAGTCCTTATTCCGCATCTCTTCGGGCCGCGTCAACCTCGTATCGAACTGCGCTTCTTGTCTTGAAAAAGCCAAAAGCGTCGGCATACTACTGATGCGGTATTTTATAGGCAGATCCTCAATCAATGTGCTGTCCATCAACACTTCCACAAAGCCCAGTCCGCCTTCCCGCTCCCCGATCTTTTCTTCTTCGATGAGTTGGCGGATGAGCGGCTTGATGGCTTGGCAAGTTTGACACCAGGTCGCGGTCCAGAAGGTTATTAGTGAGCGGTTGTCGGAGGCGTTGAGGAGCGTGAGTGTATGCAAGTCGTTGGGTTGGCGGATGGGGTCGAAGATGCGGTTCGTGTGTGAGCGCGACGAGGGGTTTAGGAGGGAGAAGGCGCGTTTGGAGGTACTTGGGAAGGCATTGAGGCGGATAGCGGAGAGGAGGGTCGGTCTTAGCATCTTGGCGGGTGCGGGAGTTGTGTTGGGAGTGGTAGGTTGGGTTGTGGAAGTTTGGGGTTCGTGGATCGCGACGCGTGAAGGTTTTGGGGCTACGTCATCGGTTGCCGGAGCTTAGGGTCGTCACTCGCGGTCGCGTCTACATGCCACCGCGCAACATAACAGGCTACACTGAACAACGACTTTTACATATCATTCAGGGCAGCGCATTACCGATACATTAGCGAACTCTCCTCAATACAAATACAACGATGACCCTTCTACGATAACCACGCCAGCGCAGTCCGTCTGCGTTACAAATACAAGAGCAAGGGGCACCTAATACCCGTCAAGGAAAGAGAGGCTGTCGCTTAGGCGCTGCCTTTTCCTGGAAAAGGACGAATGAACCGTATCTCTGACACGAGTGTCAACAGTCGCGTGCGAACTGTAAAAGCGACCGAGGCCATCGTCAATCTCTTCACGCGACTTACGCTTTACACCTGCCTGGGCTTCGAAGAACTCTAGATCCGCGTCGTCATAGCTTCTGTCCAGGCTCTTTCCTTGGTCCTCCTGTTCCTTGCCTTTAGAAGGGGGCCATACAATATTGTTAGACCGATCGTAAGGAGCGTCTTCAATCGATAACAGCGCCAGAGGTCGGTCATCCGCATCGTACCGTTGTTGTATATGGTCTAGCAATTCGCCCTCTCCTTCCGCTTCCGGTAAATCATCAACTCGATCCGGCACCTGGGGGACAGTACCTTCAAAGCGCCTGTTTGCGGGTACAGCTTCATAAGTCCTCTCCACTGTCAGCTTCCGGCAGAAGAACCAAGCTACCAATGCCTTCCAATCGAGTAATCCCGCTATTGCAGCCCTAGCGAAAAGCCATGCCTCAAAATAGACCTTCTCGTTGTATGGGCCCCTTTTGGTATCTGGTGTGAGACCCATTGCGAGTATCCAGGCGTTGACGAAAACGTGGTAGCCACATTGAAATCCGCCAGTCTGCTGCTTTGGTACAGGATATCTATGATTGAAGCCTGCAACTTGCGCGGTATTACGATGCGAGGACCAACCAAGACGTCCAGCTGCTCTCAAAACGGAACGGCCCAAGAACTCGTGGGCGTTCTCCAAGATGGTCGGATGACTGTCAAGGGTATACGTGTCGACCCTCAGATGATTTGTATTCGGTTGGTCGTCTCGCTCTTGGAGTACCATGAGCAATGTGTGACCTCCGCCTGTTGACGGGTGCTTCACTTTATGGCCTTTCGACTCCTGCCATGCGTTGACCCGTTCTAGGAGTGGTCCGCTCACATTCAGAGGCATAAACCAGCATCTCCTAGGTCTCGATGCCACAGGATGATCTGCTGGCAGTGGTTTAAGTAGCGCCTCTCTTAACGCGTCAGTTGGGGCCATCGAAAACCCCCCAGCAAATGGCTGACCGTCAGCGCTGTTCATCCTGTGAAGCTCTCGCTGCTTGTCATCGATTGCCTCGATCACGGCAGCGATAGCCATATTTATTTCCCACGGTTGACATTCTTGTCTATTGATCTCCTCTCGCATCCCGTTAGAGAAGCTTGGTGCCAACGGTTCGTAGTTCAGAATACAATCGTAAAGGTTTATAGCGTCTGCTTTCCAGGCACAGGGAAAGTGATCGATCTGCACATTCAATCCCGGCGGATGTAATTTGTTGAGGAATTCCCTGTAGTGAGGAAGTATATCCTTGGTGATATCCAAAGTCCGGTCCTTTAGTTTGCCGTGTATGTGTTCCAGGTGGTTCTCAAATTCCACGCCATGCATCAAGAAGTGTTGGTCCCACTGCTCTTTTAGTCCCTTGCTGTCCGTATCAAGAACAAGTTTTCCCCAGCGTTCGAGATCCTTCACGTACTGCTTCCTTGCCTCTTCCGTCCAGTCGTCCGATGGCCATACCTTGTCGTGTCGCTTCCCTGGGACAACATGTGTTCTGTTTGCTTGAGCTAGTTTGGGGAAATCTGGATCTCTTCCTTCCCAGTCGCGGCGCTCTGAATCTTCCAGACGATCCAATACCGATTCTAGTGCTTCATCGCGCGGCAAATTCTCGGTCCGGTCAAAATGACGATCCTCGGGCACGGCTGCTGCATTGTCGACGAACTCTTTACATCTGAGAAACGCATATATCAGTCTCCAGTCTGCTCGTCCAACACGAGCGATGTGGATCACATCAATAAGGTCTTGGAAGAATTGCGCTGTCCAACTTGGGAAGAAATTGATGTTGGGTTGAAGTCCCAAAGCCAGCGCCCACGCATTCAATATGGTATAGTATCCACACTCATTATCCGTAGGTTGTGGGGCTACGGGAATCCACTCAGCGTGCAATGCCTCCCGGGTGTATTGGCGTAAGTCACCTTCGTCCGGAAGATTGGGAAACCGGCCCCAGCGCGAGGCGATAAAGATGTTTCGAGCTGTGTCGAAAACATGAGCACGTCGTTCGAAGCTATAGTTGTGAGATTTAGAATCTAGGATGGAGATCGTAGGTGTAGGCTCCTTCTTAGAGCCGTCAAACTGAATAACCACCAAGATGATATGGTTGTCAATATTCACCGGTACTATCAACGGCCGTCCCGGTCGAATCGTAGGCTGCATCAACATAGGATTCTCGTGCCGACAGTATTGAACTGCAGTCTGGTCCAAACAACCGAACCCGCCCTCTAGGTCCTGAGCATTCGTTATGCCGAGCGTCACGGCTGCGATGGCCAAGGACACCTCTTCATCCTTGAGCCACAGTCCGAATGTGGTGGTTGCACGACTTCGAAGACTTTCTACTGCTGCTGCTACGGCCGGATCACTCAGAAGCGCGTTTCGCTGTTGGTTGAAGTATTCGCACGGGTCAAAGTTTTCTGGCAACGCTGACTTTTCTTTGGGGTTACCGGAAGTCTCTTTGGTCTTTTCCGATACAGATTTGGTACTTTCTCCGGGGTTTTGAGGACGAGCGGGGTCGCCCAGTGGTTTATCGCCATTGTTTGACGGTTTGGGATAATCGCCCTTGGAGCCACCTGAGGGTGCGGGAGCAATTGACAGGACCTTGCTGTACATTCCAGA